GGACAGAAGTTACACATAAACTGATTTAAGTGATCAGAAACTGGTTTAAACAGAACAGACGTTCAGTGCACATAAACCAGTTTCAAAATGGCCTAAACCGGTTTGAGATAAACCTGCTTGAATGTAGCATCACACTTAACCGACTGAGCTGAAACCAGTTCATGCAATGTCTGTCCCAGACTCTTTCCTGGTTTCATTTAAACCAGAGTCACCCAGCATCCTGGCATGTTCTCTGGGCTGGGCTCTACTCCAGCGAGCAGGGCTGGCCCTGCCCCTCTGCTCCCCAGCCAGAGCAGGGTCAAGCAGGGACAGACAAGGGAGGGGGTCTGGCCAGATGCTGGCCCCAGAAGGGCGCAGGGAAGAAGTTTATTCCCCCTTCCCTCCCCTGCCCCACCAGCACAGACCTGCACTACTTCATGCTGGCTGCTCCAGCAGTGGGGGCATGGCCAGCCCTGGCAGTAGCCTTGGCTGAACTGGTCAGAGAGGGGTTTTAATTCCCCTCTCCCTGTCCCACTAGCAGGGACCTGAGCCAGGTCTGCCAGGCACTCCCCGCTTGCTGCTGCAGCGGCAGAGCCAGCATGGCCCCTGAGGCAGAGGGGGCAGGCAGGGGGGTTATTCCCCCCTCTACCCTCACTGCCCCTGGGGGACCATAGCCGGTTCTGCCCATCCCGACCACTGCTGCCGCCACTCGCTCCCTGCTTGGGGCAAGCGGCAGAATAAGCCCCCTCTGCCAGACAACAGAGGGAGATGGAATAACCCCCATCCCTTCCCCCACCTAAGGGGCCCTGCTGGCTGATGTCTGGCCATGCCACACCTGGCCACTGCAGCAGCGAGAAGGCAGGGCCCTTGATGGGGGCAACAGCCCCTGTCATAGTGTCAGGGAGTGTGAGCCCCTTCCAGGTGGCGGGGCCCACCTCAGGGCAGGCAGAGCTGTGACGGACTGTACGTGGCAGCACGGGGGCTTGGAGGGCTCTGGCCCCCTCCAAGCCCCTCCTCCCAGCACCACTGCAGTCTGCAGCAGCTTTCCCCACCCCACAGCGTGGCCCCCCACTTGAGGAAACCATGACAGGGGTTGCTGCCTCCATCACGGCTGCTCCCCCCTTGCCACTCCAGCAGCTGGTGGAGGTGGGGCCAGATGCTGGCCAGCAGGGCCCCTTAGGTGGGGGCAGGGCAAGCAGCAGAATAAAACCGCTCCTGCCCCCTCCCTCCGGTGTCTAGCAGAGGGGGCTTATTCTGACGCTTGTCCTGGGAACAGAGTGATCAGCAGCAGTGGTGGTGGTGCTGGGGGGCTTGGAGGGCTCTGGCCCCCTCCAACGCCCTGTGCTGTGATGCATAGTCCACTGCGGCTCTGCTCGCCTCGTAGCAGGGCCCCCTCCACTGGGAAAGGGCTCATGCTCCCCAACACTATGACAGGGGCTTGCAAAGGGCAAGTGGTGGTGACGGCAGTCAGGGTGGGCAGAACCAGCTGGGGTCCCTCGGGGGCAGTGGAAGTAGAGGGAGGAATAACCTCCCTCTCTGCCCCCTCTGCCTCAGGAGCCATGCCGGCCTGCCGCTGCAGCAGTGAGGGGGGAGCGCCTGGCTGACCCAGCTTGGGTCCCTGCTGGTGGGACAAGGAGGGGGAATTAAACCCTTCTCTGGCCAGTTCAGCCCATGCTCCCCACCAGCACAGCTTCCCTGCAGCTGAGGGTGTGCTCTAGTGCCCTCTGACTCCTGGCCTGAGCAACTGCAGGCATGTGCCCACATTTCCTCAGTCCACAAGGAATGTCTGTGCTGTTGCAAATCAGTTCAATCTAGGCAGGTTAAACTAACCTGCAAAGATTGAATCAATTCAGGCTCCAGATTTTTTAATGTCTGTCCCTAGCCTGATTGTGATCCTTTTGGGAGGAATGCCACTAAAAATTTTAAATATTTGTAAGTTCAGGAGATATACAGGGGTTGGGAGAAGGGAAAGGGAAATCTGGTAACTGTTTAACAACGTATAAAAACATTTTGTGATAGTTTAGGACACGAAAAGAAGAAATATACACTTTGAACAGAAATGTTAGACCAATGATTGTTAACCAGGGTATTGCAGCACTCTAGAATGCCTTAAGAGCCCTTCAAGGGTGCCACAGGGTGCCATGCAATGTGAACACTGTTAAGTGTGTAAACATGATTCACAAGAGAAACCCAGAGATTTTAAATAGGAATCCACAGTGTTAGAAACATTCTGCCCTGTTGTGGTCTCCCTGCCTTCTTTGTAACAGAATAGTTGCTCTATTATTTTTCTGGAGTCAAAAACTGTGTGAAAAGCAAGAGGTTGAATTTTCTGAGGGGTGTCTCAAGCCTAAAAAGGGGTGCCTTGAGTCGAAAAAGGTTGAGAACTACAATATTAGATGAAGGAGGGAGAGGGAATGTATTTATTCAGTAATAGGCTTGTTTCTGGAACCACCTGCTAAATGCATGATTAAACACTAACGTCAATTATAGGATATCCAGAGACATAAGATGTCTGTGGACATGGATAAACACATTTTTAACATATATTTTTCAGAGAAAAAGTGTTGACCAAGATCTTGTGAAGGTCAGAACAATCAAGAATATGACTCAGCAGAACAATGGTGCCAACACCCAATTGTTTAAAACCTATTTCCTGCTGCATTTAACTTTAAATCTTCCAGCTCCAATTGCTGGATTAAAAAAAAAGGTATTAAAAACATGACTAGAGGCTTGTGTAGATGAAACACCATTTGGAGATATTGGGGTGGCGTTCTGTTCTTTTCCCGTCTTCTACATGGTTATCTTTTGGCTACCTACAGCATGTTTTTGGTGTTTATATATCCAGAGAATATTTGGTGTATTTTTGTAAAAACCCAAGTGCTGGAGTCAAGAGATTGCCTGAAAATTTCAGCTGTCATTTAAGGGAAAAAAGGGAAAACTTAGCTCTTATTAGAGAATGCTAGCAAACACAGAGCATTCTCGACGTGTAGCTTTGTTCCTATGGGTGAGTATGTGACTACATAGCCATGCCAAGTCAGCATGTACAGTAGCGGTTATAGCCTATATGCGGGCCTGTTTCAGGTAAATACTAAACTTAGAGACTTAAATCTGGCTCATTAAGTTCCTGCAACTATAGGGACTTAGACTGAGGAACAGAAATGGTACTGGGGATTGGGGGGGTGGAGCATTTGTGCTTTTTCCCCTTAGTGGCTAGAGCACTTACCTGGGATGCTAGAGATCCTTGGCTCTAGGCCCTCATCTACCAGAGGAACATCTGAACCAAGGTCTCTCACTTAGCAACATAGCACTCCAGTATGTCACCGGTCTGCCATTACATACTCCCTTCTTTCACACTTCTTTTGAAGTTGCAGCACTGACACAGTCCTTGGAAAAAATAGATGGAGGGATAGTGCAGGGAGAAAGCTTCTGCCTTACTGGGAGCTGGGGCCCAAGGTAGAACCCAGCACTCCTGCCCTGCTAGGCCAGCAGCCAGCTAGCAAACCCACACCCTCTGGCTTGCTCCTTCTGTCTCCCTCCCATGTCCATCTGAGTGCCAGCTTCCAAAGAAGTCCTAGAGAAGAGACTGACTATCCTGTGATGTTTTAGTGAGAGTGCTTTGCTGGGAAGTCAGAGAGATCCAGATTCCAAACCCCTGGGTGGAAGGGGCGTAGGACCTCCACCTTCTTGGGGGAGGGCTCTAATCACTTAGCTACTGGGGAGACAAGGTAGGTCCCTCTCTCCCACTCTACCTGGTGCATATATATAGTCATCCACAAATTCAGGGCTATATGTCTGGGAACAGTATTCTGCTAGAGGTGTAAGTACCAAAAATGCACTGCAGAAAACCAAATAAACTGCCACTAATCTGACCAGGAAAAAACAAAATGTCACCTTTGGTGTCAACAAATCTCACTGTGCTAAAGATACAATCATACTGGAAATCAGCCATATTTTGTATACAGAAATTATGTGCAAGTTATGGGACTGAAAGGTCAAATAAGTCCAGGTGGATCAATATCAGGTTGCAGCCTTTACGGGGAAGTAAAATTCCTAACAAAATTAAATAAAATCCTTAGATGAAAAAGCTTGGGTTGGAGTGTGACGTGTGAATGCTTTTATCTAAAATTCTGCTTTGCTCTATCCATCTTTGTAATGTCCACAAGCACTTATAAACCTTTTTTGGAAACACTAAAACCAGAACAGAGACCATGACACTACTGAAATGCCTTTTAGATGCTTAACAAACATAGAAAGAACACCCTTGCTGACTCTGTTCCAGACACTAGATAAACACTATACATTCTCTTTTACCACCTGCTCATAGGAACATTAATCATATCTTCATTGATGCAATTCCATAAATCTTTGGCCATAAAAGAAACTGCAGACTCATCATTATCTGACTGTCCTTCATTGGTGTGGAGATAGATGACTGGTGAAGCATCTTACTGAAAGAAGATGAAGATCAGGTTTCTTTGAAACTATAAGACAGGAAACTGATACTTGCAAATCCCAGGACAGAGCGCACCATGGAAGTAACATCCTCAAGAAAAGAGATTGATATATTTCTCATAGTTCTACTGTTTATTCCACCTTACACCACACACATTGGAAGACAATTAAATACCTCACAATGCCCCCTGCATTTAAACTAAATCAAATGACAAAAAAGCCCTATGCTGAAAAAGCCTAAAAGCATCTCTGAATTCATCTGGTATGGTCAGTGATGACTTGATCATATATGTGCACAATCCAAAATGAAGAACTTACATGTGTCGGGACCCAGGGCAGCCGGCCAGCAGCTCTCCCTGACTCCCACCCGGGCAGTTAAGGGTCCGTCAGGCGGGTACTTGTGACGCATGGAGTGGAATTAATTAGGCGGACGCTTATCGGTTGCAAAGCAAGATTATTTACTCACGCCATCAAGGTGGTGAAAGACAGAGGTCAGATATACTTAGTTAGTTACAGCTTAGAGTTCGTTCGGTCGTTCTGCAGACATATATACGGGCTGGCGGTTTTACCGGGCATGCGGGTCAAGGGTACGCCAGGGAGGTCGCGGCGGGAAGACGCTGACAACTGATCAAATTGTCAGATTTACTCCAAGGTGTGGACAGAGTTGTCTTCGATTTGGCGGAAATGTAGCAGGGTTTTGTTTGTATGATAGCCAATTGTTTTTCACCACGTCATAAATTAGAATCGCCAATTGTATAGTGGTCTTCGCTAGGGTGTTATCATAGGGTCACTCCTTGTTTTCTTTGACCAATTATAATGATTTATGTACAGCACAGAAGGCTAAGTTTCATTTCATGTTGGTGTCGCAGTTATAAATTTCTTTTTGACATGCGCAGCAAAAAACTGTTACTATCTTCTTGTTAGTTAACTCTTAGTTAACCTAGTGCAGACTAAAACTGTTTTGAATGGTTTTACTTGTTTGTGACATGGGCACTACTTAATTTGGTTTGTGACAGCATGGTTGAATATTTCAGCTTCTCCCAATGGCAGCATCAGGCACTATTTGAGAGGTCTGGATAAAAATCACCTCTGACTAAAACAAACAAACAAACAAACATTGCCAAATGGCTCCTCCAGGTACAAAGGAGAAGTATTAATCATTTCCCAATTTAAGTAAGCATATTTGTCATTACTACATCATATAAAAATTGACCCTGGCATAAATGCCCCAGAATATTTGGCTTGAGCCAAAATAATCTCCAGCTATTAACTTCGTGTTATAATACAGTCTATTCTTAGAGCCAGATTGAGGTACCACCTGCATTACATCTCATTTGTCCAGTAGTCCTGTTGTTTTCAATGAAACTCCTCAAGGAGAAAGCAAGGTAGAATTGTACTTTATAGACTAACCATATCAGAGATATATAGCACAAATTGTCATGAACCTGGGCTCACTTCATCAGATGCTGTGAAAGGACACGCACAGAACAGAGCATAAAATGGGACCTGACTTCAGACTAGCATGACTAACTACCTCAAGGAATTCAGGTTTACTGAACAAAACTATGGTATCAGTTTCTAACCCAAGACTTACATAAACTGCTTTTAATAAATGTAGGTACCACTTGCATAGACAAGCAATATGTATATTATATATGTGTAATTCTGTGTGTCCATATACATACAGAAACTGCAATACATAGTATCATAGAAAAGCAGGGCAGGAAGGGACCTTATGAGATAATCTAGTCCAACCTCCTGCTCACAGCAGGATCACACCTGACTAAACTAGATGTAGCTAGCCATGTTAGGCAGAAGTCAAACAGAACGCAGGGTAGAGTTGCATCTTAGAGTCTAACTGACTCAGAGATACATAGGCTTTCATAAGCATCAGCTGTTGCATACAAAAGCTTATGCATCTGTGATTCAGTTAAACTATCCCAGTCATATATCTGTCGACCCTGCTCTTAAAAACTTTTGGATGGAGATTCCACAATCTTTCAGTGTAGCCTGTTCCAGTGCAGCACCTGCCACATAGTGAGAAACTTCTTCCTAATCTCCAACCTAAATTTCCCCTGCTGCAGTTTGAGACCATTGCTTCTAGTAATATAACCACCCTCTCTTTATAACCATCCTTCAAGTATTTGCAGACTGCTATCCAATGCCCCCTCAGTTTTTTCTTTTCCATCCCAGTTCTTTTGGTCTTTCCTCATAAGTCATCTGAACAAACATGCAACCTAAGGATTACCATGAACACTGAGCCTAAAGTCCTTCCTTCTACCTGCTGAGGTATTGAAGAAAATTTTCTGTAAGAAAGCCTAATTATTCCTCCTTGTGATGAAGGTAATAGTAAAAGCACAGCCACAAACTGAGCATGCTCTCCAAAACCTCATGATAGGTTCTCAAACCCAGGTCCAAGGCAGTAAAGTCAAGGGGGCAGGCGATTTGCAATAGTGAGGCGCTCCAACAGACACAGGATCAGGCCCTCAGTGAGAGTCATTCTCAAAAGAAAATCCTTACCAAGGAGAAGATGAAGCTACCAAAAGGCCTAATTCAGAGACCAGTGAAGTGAGTGAGGGGCTTTGCACTAACTTTGATGGCCACTGGATCAGGCCTATTAGTCCAATGGAACTAACTAATGAATAAGAGCAGAATTCGGGTTACAGGTTTCCCTTGCTTTATGCGGGTTCTGTATGTGTGAATTCGCTCTCATGCAATAACCCTTTTTATACCAAAAAATTGTTACGTGCAAGGTAAATTCACTCTTATGTGATCGGTGTGGTGGAAGCCTGCAGTCAGCTGCTTTGTGCAGTGCACTGTGGGAGTGATGCACACCAAAATATAGTCTCCTGTGTGGATCTCTGTGCCTCACTCATTGTCTGCAATGCATGTTTCTGTAGTTGCCATCCCCATTATGATAGTGCCCTGTGCTTGTGTGTACTGTCTGCTGTCAGTGATTACCAAAGTTGTCTTGTAAAAGTGGTAGAAATGGGTCTGGGGGTCAGTACAGTCAAGGTCCTGGAACATATCCCTATTTGTTAAATGGTAAAGTGGGTTCCCTTTATGTGAATTCGAGTTATGCGCCACTTTCCAGGAACACATGCACAGTATAAAGCAGGGAAACCTGTACATGCTTTTAAGATTCCTACTAGAGTTGGGAACCATCTAAAAATGAAGCAGGGCCCTCGGCATGGAACAGAGGCTGTGCGGTATGTTCCAGCATTTGATAAGACACAGGGCTTGTTTTTCTAGTCTTTTCCTAGACAAAGCAGGGCAGAGCTATAGCAAAGTACAAAGGAAGAGTTAGGCTATGGCTAGACAACCTCCCTGCAAAGCCCAGAACTGTGGCGTGGAAGCCAAGCCCTGCCCCTCACACATCCAAGGCTGGTGGTTGGGCAGAGTAAATGGCTCAGAGGACATAGCACGGCTCTCCCGGGGTGTGTTCCGAGGAGCCCTTTAAGTTTCCTGTTCTACCTAACGGTCAGCTGCATGTATGCCCAAAGCAGGAGTGAGTGGACAGTGCTGAGTTTGCAGGGAGACTGTACAGACAAGGCCTGTGACACCTAAAGCAATGTTGTTGTTACAGTCAATTGAAGAAACAAATTAAAAGAGCAAAACAAAACCCCAGTTCCCCATCCGACCCGTTGCAACAGGCTGACGCTTCACTCAAGCCATTCACTTTCTTTAGGCCTTGCCCTTTGTCTGTCAAAGGTTCCAGCTCACAGCCATCCTGTATCTTTTCACTGTCCCAGTCATTACACCCCGTGTTTATATGTTGGAGCCCCTCCATATCCTCTTCCATCACCACCCTCTAGCCACTGACATTTTATTACTTCAGAGACAACAAAAATATTATTGTGGTCAAAGGTGTGACAGAACAATGGTGCCGTTTGCCTTTAAAGAGTACTTGATGATGATGAAAGACCTATTACAGGCACAGGGCCAGATACTCTGTTGCTCTGCATGTTAAACACATATTTTTACACTCAGGCCATTGTGATTTGGCAGCATCTTGCACTTGTACAAATTACTACACAAGTTTCAAGGAGACAAAGAATCTGGTCCAAAATTTAACTTGCCTGTCATTTCTCCCATTCCCTTTGTTTTTGTCTAATCCCTCAAGTAAGACATTTTCCTTCTATTAAAGGAAACCTCACTGAGGCACATAATGAATGTCAAAGGAGTATAACAAAACATTAGGAGCTAAAAAAGAACATCTAGGCCTTTTATGGATGGGGTTGATTAAGCAAAAGGACTGGAGGACAGCATACCAAAGCATAAGAGAGAGAGACGTTAAAGACTGATCCAAAACACCCGTGCTGTCCATGTCCACGGTCACTAGTAGGATTTGCAGCTTTCATATCTATACCTAACAGTCCGACATGTGGGCCTAAACAATTTGAGCCCGTGCATTTTTCTGGTTTAGGGACTCCTATAAAATGTCCGAGTTATGCTTAGCTTTCATTTAAACACACTCATGCATGCAAGCCTCTAACTCTTTTCTTTGCCATGGTAGACTTGAAAATACACAGTGACCACCAGGGTTGAAAATTTGTTGCTGTAAAACTCAGTGTATTAATGCTCGTGATGCACTTACTGCTCCCTAGATGGATGGCACCATAAAAATGCAAAGTGCTACTACTGCTATTACATACATTTCAAACCTCAATATGTCTGTATAGCCCAAAAAACAAAAAGGAAAAAAAAACAAGAACCCCCCCTCCCCTAAAACCAAGAACTTTAAAAGATTCAGTTGTTAACTGCAACACAACTATTTGACCTAGCAAATAACCCCCTCCCTAATCATCAAAGATGAGAAGGAAATAAGAATAAATCCATTTAACTCACTAACATACAGATTGCAATCTTAAACAGAGACATCAAATGACTTTCTGACATCGCCAAGTACTGTACTACTATGTTTACCTCTGCACAATGTCAGCATTGTAGCTGCAGATCTGGTTAGGATCACTAATGTGGAAGTAAAACTTGTTAAATAGGCCACACAATTTCTGTGAACAATAAATCAACATGAGCCTGATTGGAACTGCAGCAAATAATGTCTACTTTAAAAGTTCAAGGGTGAAATTCAAGCCACACTGAAGCGAATGGCAACAATCCCATTGCTTTCGAATGGAAGCAGTACCCCCAGCCTTAAATATACAGTAGTTTGTGCTTCCTGTCAAATTTAAACAGCTGATCTCCAGTCATGCAAGCAAAGCTGAAACAAACCCACACAGAACATAAGATTTTTCCCTTTGGGAAGACATTTGAAAGCATTTCATTTTTAAATTACCCTTTAAAGCCCATGTCATTTGGCAGAGCATGGTTTCAGCCATAAGCAGAGACTCCATTTTGCTCTGTGCACATCCTTTCACAACATCTAATGAAGTGAGATTCAGCTCATGAAAGCTTATGCTAGATATCTAATTGAGTTAGTCTACAAGGTGCAAGCCTATCCTTTTCTTTAAAGCTTCTCCCACCACAAAAAAAACAATCAAATGCTCTTGTGCTTTACACCCAACATTGTCAATAAGTTTTGGCAAGTTACTTCAGCTTTCACTGACTCAATTCTCACCTTTGTAAAATAGGGGTAAGAATACCCTACTGATTTACAGAGTATGAAGATCAATGACAGAGGAAAAAAGCTATGTAAAGACTTCAGAATTACATCAGCTATCACTCGA